TTTGTATGCTCTAGTTAGTAGCGTGATATTACCAGAGAAGAAGCTACGTAGGATTAGATTAACAACTCTTAATGCCTTTTTGGCTATGTAGTTACAGTGGGCACTTAGATCATTTGAGATGAGTACTCCAAGGTCCTTGACAAAGTTTGGATCCTCAACAAGGTCTTGACTATTTAGCTTGTATTTTATTTTCTGATTTTTTCTGCCAATATGTAAGACAGAGCATTTATTTGTTGAGATTTGAAGTTGCCATTTGATTGACCATGCTGATACATAGTCAAGGTCTTTTTGGAGGGTAGTAGTATTGTCTATGAGGTTGAATAGCTTTACATCATCAGCGAAGAGAACGCAGTTGCTCTTGATATGATCACAGAGGTCATTTATGTAGAGTATGAAGAGAGTTGGTCCTAAAACACTGCCTTGGGGGACACCACTGTTGACAGGTACAGAATTTGATAGGACGCTCCGAATTTTGACAATTTGTTGTCTGACAGGAATGCTTCTATCCAATTATGTAGGTGTCCAGAGATACCATAAGATTTTAGTTTTAGTAGTAGTTTGTCGTGTACTACTGAATTAAAGGCTTTACAGAAGTCTATGTAGATTGCGTCTATTGCTTTGCCCTGATCGAGTTGTGTAGTCCATATGTCCTGAAAGATTTTTCAAAGATTATGCTTAGAGGTTCGGCTATGGCAGTGGATAGCTTTTTAAAGAAATAGGCACATATTCCGTCCGGTCCAATAGATAGAGATGGTTTTAGATTACGCAGTGCTTTTTCAACAACGTCTTCTGTAAAATTGATATGTATTAGATCACTGTAGTTGTCTGTGGTTCGACTAGGAAATACTGGGCATGATCCATTGCTGTTTACAAATACTGAGCCAAAGAATGTGTTAAAGAGGTTGGCTTTGATGGTGTTGTCGTTGCAGTCTTTTCCATTAGGTCCTTTCAGGGGTGGGATGGACCTTGAGTCTTTTAGTTTGTTTTTTTGTAGAAAGCACGGGTGGAATTGGTGCATAGAAGGTTTCCCTCTTGTTTAATGTGATAATTAGTGCATTCAGTTTTAATCTGGTGGCATAGATTTTTGTAATGGATTTTGAAGTTGGCAACGTGACTAGATTTGTTTTTTCACCAAAGTGATCTCTTTTTGGATTGAAGCTTCCTTATTGTTGTGGGTAATCTGTTTTTCCTGGTTTTGGAAGTTGTTATTGGTACATATAGTTTGATGGCTCTTTTGATTTCTGGTAAGAATATGTTGTAATGGTCTTCAACAGTATTGCATCCAGTGAATAGAAATTGCCAATCAAGGGAAGAGAGATTGTTGATTATAAGATCATCGTTGCCTTTTTTGAAGTTATAATTGGGGATTTTGTCATTGTGATGATTTTTGTGTGGACGTATGTTGAGACAACAGTCAATCAAGTTGTGGTCACTGTTGGAAAAGGGTTCTTTAATTTGTATTCCATAAATTGAATTCAAACTATTGCAGAAGATGAGATCGAGGCAGTTGTTAAGCCTAGTATTGTTGGTTACTAGTTGTTCCAGTCCCAGATTTGTTACAGCATTGTAGAAGGTTGCATGTATGGGTTCAGTTGTACATTCGTTTAGGGTCCAGTTAATATGAGGTAGATTGAAATCACCAAGAAAGATAAAAGTGTGTGGGCAGGATGCTGCCCATGTTAGTAGTGTATTTAGCTTGTTTACATGTTCAATGTCATAATCAGGGGCTCTGTAACATAGTAAGAACCGAAATGTGATATTTAAGGTCAGTTCACAGATAATAGTCTCAGGAAGAGCAAGCTCTTGGGTAACTTGGATGTTTTTTTAGATGTAAGGAGTTTTTATAGAAGATAGCAACACCACCTCCTCTACAGATTTCACGATCGGATTGGTAAACATGATAGTCTTTTACTGACGTAATGGAGTCAGGGAGAGATGCATTGAGCCATGTTTCACAGACAAATATGATGTCGAATTTAGCTGTATTTAGTAGGAGGAGAAATCCAGGTACTTTATTTACAAGGCTTCTTGCATTGAGTAGCTTGCATTTAAGGCCAGTTGTAGTTTGAATTGGGGTAGTTGGGGGCATGCGTGCCTAGTCTTGGGTGATGGTGGATTGGTTGAAAAAGGTTTGGATGCTGAGTTGTGGGTTGTATGACTTTCTTTTGATACAGTCTGCATGGTAATCAATGTACAGGTCCTTCTCTCCATTGTCTAGACAATTTTTGAGTTCTGTGCGTAGTATACGAGAGCGGGCACGTTGCTGTAAGGTTAGATCAGGACGAGATCAGAGGTTTTTATGGTTGGTGTTTTTGGTGAGTGAATAGTTCGCAAACACTTGTGACAATGACCGAGGAAGCACCTCTTAGCTTCAAATCTTTTCTGAACAGGGAAGCTGCTTTCTTGTTGACCTTACCCTCTAGTTCAGAGGTCTCCAAACTTTAAGACTTGTGGACTTCAACTCCCAGAATTCTCCAGCCAGCTAAGTCCACAAGTCTTAAGGTTGCCAAGTTTGGAGACCCCTGCTCTAATTCTTAACTGCTGGTGTCAAACACTGAGTACCTTGTGTCCTGGAACTGCAATACTACTTAGCAATTCTACCCAGGCTGCTCTTTCTACTATTCACCTTAACATTTACTACCCTGTGACTCCTTCAAAGAACAGGACTATGAGTCAGGGCCATGTGAAAAAGCATCTTGAAGTTTCTTGGAAGCCTACACACACACACACATACACACACACCAAATTCCATTCTGATCAGCGAAGTTCTTTTAAGCAAAAGGGAACTTGCATTTCAAAGGAGAAAAAGTGGGTGGGAAGCTCCAAAAACTGGTTCAGACTTGTTGATGGGACTTCCTAAGCCACTTGCACGGGCTTAAGAGTGGATAGATAGAGTGGTTCAGTTTCCTGTTCAGTTTCCTGGAGGCACAGAGTTCACTCTTCAGTTAAGGCACTGTGCTTCAGAGGCTGGACTCACAACTCATTCCAACTTGACATACTATTCTAACCCAACCTCTCCCATTCATGAGCATGTTGTTCAACCTTATCCAATTTTGTAATTTTTCAAAAAAGAAAACTATCTGATTTTTAAAATTGTAAATCTGAAATTACTATTGCATGAACCTTTCCACAGTGTGTAACTTTTTTTTACTATGTAATTTGGTAGGGGATACACACACACACACACACACACACACACACACACACACTCATACACATATATACATATACATACATACATATACATGCATACATACATACATATATATTACGGAAACACTCCTCATATGCATTTTTTCCTATGCAATGTTCCATGGAACATATGTTTTTCTGCCACTTCAACAAATATGAACCAATTCTGTCACATCTATGAATTAATACGGACTTTCCCTTTTTCCTTGCCAAGAATGCCAGATGTCCCCATTCTCAGCTGATTTCTATCATCTCTGCTACAAGGCGGCCTAAACTTCCCAACAAAAGTGCCCTTTTTAAACACTTCTATTTCTAATGACATTCGACAAACATCACAAAAATCAGTGCTGTTGAACGGTCGCTAAATGAATGATTATAAGAAGGACCACCTGTATTCTTCCTTATACATTGCATCACTACTTTTTCTCTAGAGATACTAATATTAATTACAGCTTTTCCATAGCTTTTAGTATTGTAATAGTTCTACATATTTTAGATTGGGTAATTTTACTATCCTTATTCTCAACAATCCTTTAGTTGCCTTATATAAAATTGCATCACCCTGTTAGTTTTATTCTTAAACTTTAAATTACAATTTCACTTGCATTGTTATATCATTTTATAGCTTGTTTTACACTAATAGCAATAGCACTTAAGGCTTATTACCGCTTTACAGTGCTTTACAGCGATTCACAGGGTCAGCCTCTTGCCCCCAACAATCTGGGCCCTCATTTTAACCACCTCAGAAGGATGGAAGGCTGAGCCTGGTGAGATTTGAACTGGCAAATTGCAGGCAGCAAAAGAAGCCTGCAGTACTGCACTCTAACCACTGCACCACTGTGGCTCATCAATGTAAACTTTTTTGTTGGTCAATAACTGATACAAAATGATGGACTGACAGGCTTCCATGCAAATTTAAAGCCCAAATGTTTGACGATTTCATTATGAGGATTCTCTCCATGGGAAATTAAATCTGTACTGGCAGCAAGACCTCCATTTCTGCCTCCCTACCTGGCCTTACACATTTGCAATAACTGACTCTACCCATCACTGGGTCTGTGCTTGGATTTTACTGATATTAGAGGAGGCAGAAAAGAACTTTGTCCTCTTCTCATTGCACAAAGGGCATGGATTCTGCAATCTGGGCCAAAGCTGCTATATAGACATCAGATCATATGGCTCCTATCGGACACCTATGGGAACAACATCTTACAAGCGAGGACCAAAAAGCTAAGATGACGCTCACCACCTTCTTACTGAAGCTGCCGTCTTGACTTTTTGCCCCAATCTGCAGATGGCAAACCTGCAACTAACACAACCCACCAAAGGCAAATCACTCGTGCCGATTTACCCCCAGCCTATCAAGTACTTAGAAAGCGAAGGCTGGGCAGCACAAACAAACGGCAGCCAACTGACTTAAAAGCCAGCCATTGACACACCCCAATCAGCATTTAAAAAGCCACATACAACAGGCACTGAAAATACCACACACACACTCCACTAGACAGAAGTTCCCTGAAGATGGGCTCCAGCGTGAGTTCAAAAGCTCAGAAGACAAAATCTCTGGTTCTGGTGACCGATTCGCTTTGTTTGTATTATTGGGTAGATCTTTTCTTTCCTGACCTGTTCTTTTTCACCCCAGCGACTTTCAGGTACAATGAGGACTGTGACACGTGCATCGTCTTGCACAGATTATTTAAAATTGCTGCTGGCTGTTAATCCATTCAGTCCAGTCAGTTTTTGAGAGAGCTTAGAAAACAGTGAGAAATTTATCTAGCAGCAGGGATAGAAAATGTTGATGTACTCACCTGACTCCTTCATTGAGATTGTAAAGATCGTGGTCTGCGAGCCCCTTTCTCTGAAACACAGCTATGACTCCATTCTGGATACTGCAAGAGAGATGAAGAAATATAGTCTGAATTCCTAACAATAATAATAATACTCCAGCAAGCACCGTTTATTTGGGGAGGCAAGAACCCACAGCTGCCGCAGCTGTTAAATTAGACTGTCAAAAGAAAAGATAAAAGAATCTGGAGTAGAATCTTGAGGTCAGCTTCTCCTTTCCCACTATGCTAAAACCAAAGTTCAGACAGTTTCCTTTAAGCTCCTGGTAGCTACAAGGACACCTAACTACTATTTTTCAGTCATCTGTAAGTTGTCTGACTCAAATGGGGTGGCATGTTCCAATATCTCAGGGGCTGCCCCAAAGAAGAGGGAGTCCACCTATTCTCCCCAGCACCCCAAGGCAGGACGAGAAGCAACGGAGGGAAACTAACCAAGGAGAGAAGCAACCTAGAACTAAGAAGAAATTTCCTGAGAGTTAGAACAATTAATCAGTGGAACAACTTGCCTCCAGAAGTTGTGAATGCTCCAACCCTGGAAGTTTTAAAGAAGAGATTGGACAACCATTTGTCTGAAATGCTATAGGGTTTCCTGCCTGAGCAGGGGGTCGGACTTGATGATCTCCAAGGTCCCTTCCAACTCTGTTATTCTGTTAAATAATAGCATGGGAAAACCACATTGGTCCTCCATTCTGCCCTCCTTCAAAGAGCATGAAGAAATAGTATCAACCTCATAACACCACTTCTAGTTTGGAACAACTTAGTCGCTAGAGTTAACTCCGATCTTCCTTAACGCACCTTAGGAGCGAGCTAAAGGTAGTCCTTGACTTACGACCATGATGGAGCCCAAAATTTCTGTTGTTAAGTGAGACATTCGTTAAGATAATTCTGTCCCATTTTACAACCCTTCTTGCCACAGTTGTTAAGTGAATCACTGTAGTTGTTTCTTTATCTGATTTTCTGATTGACTTTGCTTGTCAGAAGGTCGCAAAAGGTGATCACGAGACCCAAAGACACTGGAACTGTCATAAATAGGAACCAGTTGCCAAGCATCCAAATTTTGATCACGCAACCATGGGGGGATGCTGCAACGATCGTAAGCGTGAAAACTAATCATGTCCCTTTTTTTTTCCAGTGCCATTGTAACGTTGAACAGTCAGTAAATGAACTGTTGTAAGTTGAGGACTACCTGTACTTTTTTTAATCTACATCTTTGTACATTCTTGAGGCTGCTTAGCTTAAATGAAGAGTAGGGCTGCTCCTGTGCTTGTTAAAACCAAATTGCACAACCTCAAAACCAATATGGCACATCAGGGGCAGGGCAGAGGAGAGGAGTCAAAGTAAAACAATAAAAATGCAATCAAAACCTGGCACCTGTGTTTTGCTTTAGTAGCACAAGTCCACCACAGATGGTAATAGTGCCAGATTTTTGGTTACATTTCCAACATTTACTAAACAAAGTTTTGAACATTTTGGCTAACCTAGCAGGTGGTAAATACCATTTATAAAACATTTTTCTTTATAAGAAGTTGCCATTGTTAATTTATAATTTATTTCCTCTATATTTTGCCATTTCTCTAATTCTACATTATATCCAAAGTTTTTTGCCCACTGTATCTTTGTTTCTTTCACTTGTTTATCTTCCATTTTCAAATTTAATAGAAAGTTATATAGTTTCTTAATAAGTTTTTCAATGGAGTTCAACAGTATCTGATCAAAGATTGTTGGTTCTTTATAAAAGCAATGCATTTTCACATCTTTATCCTATCTAGATTGTATTTGCAGTTGAGGCCACCATGATAATTCAGTACCCAGCCGTCGAGCTCTCGTTTAGATTTTAATTTCCCTTGGTGTGCACTTCTTTTGACTCAGCTGTATGTAGATGATGGGGACAATTTTTCTAATTAAGTAAATGCCTTTGCAATGGGCCTGTAATGATTCTCAGTCAATCAGGTCACGGTTTTCCCAAAGTTGCTTTTTTCAGTAGGCAACTGGAGTTCCTTGTTTTTTCTTTCTTCTTCTTTTTATAGGAGAGGGGGTGGCTGCTAACTTCCTACAGAAGGAAGACCCAAAGGTGTTATTTTTCAGGAGGCAACTGGAGTTTCTGGTTTTTCTTTGAAGACGTTTCACTTCTCACCCAAGAAGCTTCTTCAGCTCTGACAGGATGGTGGAGAATGGAAGGATTTATATTCCTTGCGGACAGCTGGCCATTTGCATCCTTTTAGAGCAGGGGTGGGCAAACTACGGCCCGCGGGCCACATCCGGCCCGTTGGTCTGTCCAATGCGGCCCGCCCCTGAAAAAAAATCGCTGGGCGTGGTGTATTGCCCTGTGCCGCGTGGCCCCCAAAGCTGCAAAACAGTGCGGAGCGATCTAGGGGTAGGAAAGAAAAGAAATTTGAAAAGGCCTCGGCTGGGAGTTCGAAATCACCTTCGAGTGCGACCTCTCCGAAGGTGAGTCCCCACCGATCCCCCCTTTTTTTCCGGGGCTTCCAGGCTTAAACTTTGCAAAGGCAAAGCTTGCAGCCTGGAGCGTCTTCCTGCCGAGGAGTGGGAAGGGTTCCGCCCGGCGGGCGGGGCAGGCTGCTTGGAGCGGGCTGCCATGCGGCTCGGGGCGAGGCACGAGCGCCCGCGAGTTAAAAGGAAGCCGAAAGTTGCTGGGAAGTTGCTCGGTTTTCCGGGGCTTCCAGGGCTTTGCAAAGGCAAAGTTTGCAGGCTGGAGCGTCTTCCCGCCAAGGAGCAGGAAGGGTTCCGCCCGGCGGGAGGGCGGGCTGCTTAAACTTTGCTCGGGCGGCACTTTAAAAGCCTGCTCCCAGCACCCGAGCAACTTCCCAGCAACTTTCGGCTTCCTTTTAACTCGCGGGCGCTCACGCCTCGCCCCGAGCCGCGCGGCAGAGGGGAAGCCCGGCGGGCGGGCGGGCTGCTTGGAGGAGGCGACCCGGCGGTGCTCCGGCAGCAGCAACAGGCAGTTTCGCCCGGGCTCCGCTCAGGTGTCCGGCTGGGGCTATCAGGAGTTGCTACCGCCGGCGCAGCTCTGTGAGGCTCCAGTCCCACGTTGCCTTGGGAAGGAAAAGGCAAAACCAGGAGCCGCTGAGCCTGAGCCTCCGGTGCCGCTGCTCCCGTTGCAAAGCACCGCCGCGGCTCTTCCTTTTTGCCTTTCCCTTCCCGAGGCAACAACTCCTGACTCAGGGGGCCTCCGAGGGGAGGGGAAGGAGAAGGGGGGGGAAGGGGGGGGCGATTCCCAAAAAATCTTGTGCTGACCTGGCCCGTCTGTCAAATTTTAAAAGTCAATGTGGCCCCCGAGCCAAAAAGTTTGCCCACCCCTGTTTTAGAGGGTTGTTGAAGCACTTGGAGGTTTCTCTGTGTCCTCTGGGTGCATTTGTAATGCTGTACTGTAATCCAGGTTACAACAGGACAGTTGCTACAATGGATGTGTCTGGACGGGCTGTCTCATTTTGCAGCAGAGACAGATAGCTACTCAGCAGAGGAAGGGATGCCAGCGAGGAACAACAGTAGGAAATTAAAACTGGCAGTGACACCGGCAAGGTGGAAATGCACAAAAAGACCAAAGCAGAAGACACATTTTGTTCTTTCTCTCTTCCTTTTCCTTTCTACTTTCACTTCATAAAAGCAAGCAAAGAATCTTAACATTTGAACTCTTCTTGAGAAAAAAAAATGCTGCATCACCTCGCTAAGATGCAAATCTTTGGTTGATACACTCAGAACAAGTTAGACTTACTGTTTTCTTACAATTAACCTGCAAAAGCCACTCCTCACCTACAGTTTAAAATCCCACATATGTGTTGATATGATCTTGGATTAGAGCATTTTACATTTCCCTGGGCTTTAGTAATGCTTTGTACTTCTTTTAAAAGTCCCAATGTAAAGCATATCTACCATTGATTCCTAAGAGGCCGTAACCATGGAGCTTTTTTAAAATTAAAAATAATTCCCTTGCTCAATTTTTGGGTAAATTCAGTGGCCACATAGTTTACTTCTCCACTCTTATCTACACAGAAGTTTGAAAATGCAGGCCTTCTTTTTTGTTTTAAGATCTGCTTGCCTCTTAGTTACAACTTTAAAAAAGTGTGGGTTTATTCTTCCATGATTGATATCATTAAATAAAAATAAAAACAAATTACACAATTCCTGCAGATTCGAGAAATCCACCAAACGTGCATTAAATCCACCCTAAATCTGAATACCAAATGAGAATAAAAACACATAATAAATTTAGGGGTACAAACACACAACAAATTCAGGAAGTCAGTGAAATCTAATAGCAGCCTTGGTGTTTACAATGTATAATCTTGATAATGCTAGCATCTTGAGTGAAGCAGAATTTATCTCTTTTCTTTTACATTTATGGTTTACTTTTTTTCATCTTCCTTGAAAGTGGAAAACTAAGGCAAGCAACAACCACCACCTACAGAATCATGGTTCTGCACTTTAAATGAATTGGACTGCAGCTTCTGTAGGTGTCAAAAGAATGATACCACAATGATATTGTGTACAACATGTCAGTGCATAAATAGTATTGTTGCATAATTTGTGCCAACTGCACCTGAACTCAGGCAAGTTATGTAGTTGATGTGTTGACGTGTTGTCACATAGCTATAACCTATGTTGAGGCCTATAATCACAATTTTCATGCATGAAGTTGAGGTGATAGGTATTTTCATAGACATTTAATGGACCTTTTTTCATTCCTTCTGGATCAGAGTGTCAAACTCGCAGCCTGGAGGCTGGATGCGTCACATGCTGGCCACGCCCATGCCCCATTTACCAAAGGGGGAAAAAAGTCCCAATACATCACGTGACACCGCCATGACATCCCAAGTTTGACACCCCTGTTCTAGATTGTTCCTTACAAACCGCTACATAAATGGTGTCCTTCTGGGGTTTGTCACATTCTGGAAAGAAATGGAAATGGAAGAAAAGCCTATCCCTGGATCTATCTGGCAGCTGGGCTGGAGGAGAAAAAAAAAAAGAGGAGGCATGTCGGAGTCCAAGTGTTTGCTGCAGTTTATTCTGGACAACTAAATCATTCA